TGATGGTGGTGATGGTAATGATATTGGTGGTGGTGATGAGTGGTAGTGACAATGGTAATTGCAATAGTAATGATGGTGGTGATGGTGGTAGTGACAATGGGGATGATGATGATGATGAATAATGTACTAATTAAAATACACAGTCACCTCCAAACATCATAAATCATTTTTACAGGACCAAGTTCTTGAGTGATGACTGGATGGAAGAACATGACTTCATTGAGCTAAGCATCCATGATGAAAACAGCAAACTATGGTGAGTAATAGTAACTTACAGCTTCCCAAATTGATGATGGTCATTTATATATTATGATGTTTGCATCATTGACAGGTGGTGGTCAAAGAAGGTCAGTGTAATTAAGCTGCAGTCACCACTGACAGTTTTGCCGTCAATCTCCTGTCAGAAATGTATTGAGATCATGAGCAGGTAACTAACCCTCAAGAATATATACAGTATTTGTGTTCAAGTTTTCTCTAACATCATGTGTTATATGTTCTTTCTGTTTTTAGAGAAGGCTATGATCAAATTCCTGTAGTTGATGATACAGGGTAAGTGATTTTTGTGTGATATGAGATACAGTAGGAATATGTAGGTGGATGGATACGATGAGATCGACTGATTGATAAATGTTTGGTAGGGATCTGGGACATTAAGGTTGATGGATAGAATGGGAAATACAGAGGTATGGGTGTGTGATCAGGATGGGAAGGATGGAAAGGTGGATGACAGGAGGGGAAGCAGGAATGAATAGGTGGATGCAAAGATAAATGGTTGGATGGGATAAGTGATGGTCAGGATAACTGATGAGATGAATGGATAGGATTCAATACACTGTATATAAGTGGATTGATTAATGGATGGTTGAATGAGATGATGGATGGTCAGCATGGACAGACTAACATCCTCACTAGCAGAAAAGGATTATTTGAATCACTGTTAAATCACTGTTAATTGTCCTAGATAACAACTAGTTTTAGAACTAGTTTGGACTGCGTCGGTGTTTTTTAGTTGAAACAAATGTGTCGTAGTGGATAATTTTATCACCGTAAATACGAAAGATAATAGATTGACATTTCGGACGTTAGTCCTTCGTCGGAGTCAATGAGAGAAAGAGAATGATGGAGGGGTTCAACTCCTTTCACCCTGCTCTTGAGTTTACATGGGAAATCAGTGAGACTTCCATCACATGTCTTGATATTTCCGTGATTATTTCTACCAACCATCTCGATACTACCATTCATTATAAGCCCACAGACTCTCACTCTTATTTACTTTTTTCCTCCTCACACCCCAAACACACCCTCAACTCTATTCCTTTTTCACAATTCTTACATTTACATCGCCTTTGCAGTGACGATGCCAATTTTTCTCACAAATGGCAAGAAATGCATTCTTTTTTTCTTAAGGGAGGTTATCCAGTTACTATCATCGATCGGGCTATGCACAAAGCTTCATCCACAGACTGCAATACTGCTCTTACTCTTAAGGCTCGCACCTCTAACCTAGACAGTATTTACGATATTCACCTTTATGATATTCGCAAGAAAGATCTCTCTAAACCAGTTTCTCGACATTTCAATTCTGTGAACCACTCGGAAACTAATGCTAATGTTTTTGGTCTTTGCTTAACACACGGTAGCAATAATTCACGCAAAATAAAAGAAATGCGCTTGATTCATTCGCTTGGCACAGTTAATCCGCACGGGATGAAAGAACACTTCACCTTTAATTAGCCACTTCTCACCTATCATTATTATTTTCGATCCTTTTGTTCTCTTTTGTTTTACGATTTGCTATTTTCTTATTGGTTTGTTTTCTCCCTACACCACTATACAAACCCCTCCATCATTCTCTTTCTCTCATTGACTCCGACGAAGGACTAACGTCCGAAATGTCAGTCTATTATATTTCGTATTTGCGGTGATAAAATTATCCACTACGACGCATTTGTTAATTGTCCTATTAGACTATATTCATGTGAATCATTCTCATCATATGTATTATTATCATTGATGGCAGGGCTGTCCTAGGTATGATTACCTTGGGGAACATCATGTCACAGATTCTGGCTGGACGATTGAAGCCAAGTGACGATGTATCCATCTGCATCTACAAGAACTTCAAAAAGGTAAGATAAAGTCTAGGGGGTCTATAAACATCCATGCTTGAAAGCACCATAGCATGCCTGATGTATTAATGAAAAAATACTTTCTCCTTTGTTTAATAAAGCTGTTATAAATAACCAAATAAAAAAGAATGAGATTTCAATTTTTTTGGGGGGGGGAGGGGGGGTAGATTTCTGAAATCTATTCTATTAAAAAAGTAATCGTCAGGAGAGACAGTAAATAGAGTAGGTGTTTGTTTTTTTTGGGTTTTTTTGGTTTTTTTTTTTTGCTTTATGTCTTTTATGGGTGTTAAGAATTTTGTATTTCTGACTAACTTTGTTCACCTACTGGGTACATACCTGTTTCTATTCTATCTATATCTGTTCTAGTGGTTTGCCGACATGCTGTAGCTTGATCCAGGCAGGTTGATTCCTTCACCATTCAAGGCAGCACACCATGTTGATGATGATGCCTTGATAAAAAAGGAAGACATTATGTTCGACTTAGTCCTATTCTAGCTCTTGAGATAATAGTAGAGGTAATGCTTCATGTTGCTCATAATGATTCTTCAATATCTCTTCATTATTATTACTCATCATAGTGTAGACACACTTACTTAAACCTGACTTTTACAAGGTTAAAAATAACTTTGAAAACAGTAACCAATCAGAAGAGGGTAAACTCTGATCAGTATCACATTGACTTGAAGCATAAAAGATGAGTTACATAATAATACAGATTTATTGCTGATTTTCTCTCAACAAAGAAGGGAAAAAGTATGTCTCTCTTAATGCTTCATGTGCAGGGAGATCAATTTAATAAATTTTAAATTTAAGGTAAAGAAAATTCTTCCACTAGCAGAATTTCTTCATTTGTTTTCGACTGAAGGACCATATATAGGAAAACTGTATATCAAAAGGAGGCCATGTGATAACAATAATTTGACTACTTTGACTACTACTTGTTTTGCTCCAAATTCAATATCCTTGGCTATTTTATTTATTTATTTATTTATTCTATTAGCTTAACAACTAGTTCTTATTTAAAAGTAAATTACGAAAAACACTGGTTGAGGAAAAGAACGACAGGACGAGAGTCCCATATAAAGTTTTTCCAAAATAAACGTTTTACAAACACTAAATACTAATGAGAAACATTAAAAACAGAGAAATAGTGACAATTATCAATTGTCTTCATGCCTCAAGAGCCTTGCAACACCAAGAAAGGGTGTCTAAGAAACAGCCCTTAGATTTTGTATGAGTGTGAAACATCCTCTAAACCAGTCAGAGCGTACAAGGTTATTGCACTGCTAACTAAAATACTTGTCCAGGGTACCATATACCATTCCCATATCACGATATTCCCTATATGTGCTACAGCTACTGCATGAACCTTCATTTCCCATCCCTGGGAGAGTGTTTAAGGGGATACTATCAATCTTTATTAACAAGATGCCATAATTTGTAGGTTACATTGGATACGGATCTACGCAAGCTGTCCCGTATATTGGACATTGATCACTATGCCTTGGTAGTTCATTCTCAGAGAGTCTGTAAGTATCACAGGTCCTTAATTTATTTTGCATACTTAATATCATGCTTACCATCGGGTCATAAGGTATTAAAAGGCTCACCAATGAACATGACTTGTTGATGGGTTTCCTGTGTTAAGTAACACAGGTGCAGAGTGCGTTCATGGTAAACCCAATACAGTGTTTTTAGTCTCATACTCCTCATGCTTGGGAGTATTGTTGTTGGTTGTTGTTTTTTTTTTTTTTCTATTTCAGATTGTGTGTTGTTCACTTGAAAATAAGATTCTTTTTAAATTTTGAGTTTTTTTCATATTATATGTGTCTTCTCATGAGCACCTAAAATGACACGAGGTCTAAAATGAGAAAACACTACAACCACGCTAAAGAGGTCCACATAAGCCATTTGCATGATGGCATCATTTGACTCCCACTACCAAAGTGCTTTGCGAATTTTCCTTCAAATTTGTATTTCCTTATGAGAATAGTAAGACAGTTGGTGCTAATTAACTGAACAAAAAGAAAGTGTGCGAGGAAGTCTGGTAGTGGTATTAAATGATGCTATAATGCCACCCGGTCAGCTCGGTTGGTAAGAGCGTCGGTCTGTTGTGCGGGAGGTCATGGTTCAAGCCTCGGCCGGACCAACACTCAGGATCTTAAAATAACTGAGGAGAAGGTGCTGCCTTTGTAATAATATCTGCAAATGGTTAGACCTTCAAGTCTTCTCAGACAAGGACTTTAAACCGTAGGCACTGTCTCCTAACCCTTCCTAACCTACAGTAAAAATAGGGGACAGAAAAGAACCACTGAGGACGTAAAAAGAAACCCTGGCAGTGACCACCCTCAGTGCCTACACTTCATACTAACCATCTCTCATGCTTGTAAATTGCATAAAGCAATCTGTCATTCACAATTCCATGTAAAGCGCCTTTGATTATATCCACATATTAAAGGGCGCTATATAAATCATAATCATAATCATAGTAACCTATTCTTGTCTTGTCTCAAAGATTAAAATATGAATATTGAATGGGTAGAACTGTGGTGAAATAATGATAGATGTGTTGATCATCACAGTGAATGAGCGATCTAAGCGAACACTTATTACATATAGTGGCTTGATAAACCCAACAAAAATGACCGCTTGCCAACAGGATTGGCTTCATAGCTCAGTTGGTAGAGCATCGCACCGGCATCGCGGAGGTCATGGGTTCGATTCCCGTTGAAGCTTGAAATCATTTTTTCAAGTCTTTCTKTACAGCGTTCGCTTAGATCGCTCATTCACTGTGATGATCAACACATCTATCAGATTAAAATAATGAGTCGTGAGCTTCTGCACACTGCATATGGCATGTTGATAACAAGCAACCCAGACATATTGACCAAGCTATTGTTGAATTGTTTTTAGATAACGACACAGACGTGATGAAACAGAAAGAAATGATCTTTGGGATTGTGACAAGAGTTGACTTGTTGAACTACATCACCCATGCTGAGGCTAAATCACCACTGTGATACAACTACTGTTCCCCTACCCTACCCCCCTAAAACTACCATGGTTAACTAGACAAAAATACCCTGATGCCTTGGGTAGTATTATACTATATCTGAGCACCAACTGTAACCCTACCCTACCCCCTGAAATTACCATGGTTCACTAGACTAAACTACCCTGGTGCCTTGGATAGTACTATATTATATCTGAGCACCAACTGTACCCCTACCCTACCCCCTGAAATTACCATGGTTCACTAGACTAAACTACCCTGGTGCCTTGGATAGTATTATATTATATCTGAGCACCAATTGTACCGCTACCCTACCCCCTGAAATTACCATGGTTCACTAGACTAAACTACCCTGGTGCCTTGGATAGTATTATATTATATCTGAGCACCAAGAAGGGACTAAGTAATTAAATGACGAGAATATTCGTAGCATTTAAACATTAATCTTACAAAAATATAATACATGGACTGTCGTTTAAAAATCTTATTAATTTCTATTTTAATATGAATATAATCATGGTATTATGTTGTATGACTTGGATGGTTAACAGCTTAGTTACGCCAAGTTACGGCGCATTGTCTTTTTCTTTCCTAAAAGGTATTTATTTATTTATTTTTGTTTTGTTTTGTTTTTTTGTTTTTTGTTTTTTATTTGTTTAAAACCGGGGCAACTCTTCCACTAAGCTAAACGCGTTTTATTTTAAACTCTGAATCGGAAAAAAATGATGGACATACTGTAGTCTTAAACCAAAATGTTTTGCATATAATTATCATTAATGTTAAGATAATAAAGTAGTTGAACGAAATGCTGTTGTATCTGTCGTGCTGATCCTAAAATACATCTTGTGTTTGGACGCTTTAGAGTGAAGGCATTTAACCCGTGGGATAACAATTATTATTCAACGTGTAACTGTCAAATAGACACAAGGGCGGATCCAGGGTTTTTTGAAGGGGGGGGTCTCGGGGGGGTAAATTTTGTGGGCAAAGGAATCCCAGTCGCATTTTTACCATTGGAAGCCCATTTGACCTCAGGAATGACAGGGGGGTCGCTACCCCCCCGACCCTCCCCCTGGATCCGCCCTTGAGACATCTACAATATAAAAATAAAAAAGTGATGAAGATGAATCAACACTATAGAAGCTGATCTTTTTAATTTGATTATCCATAGACATAGCAGCTTCCAACCCACAGTACCTTTTTTTTAATATAAAAATAATGCTAATAAAATCGAAGGAAATGTGATTGATTGAAGCTAAAACGTTTTGGACAAACTAACGTGCGAAATTTGAATATGTAGTAATTACATCTAGAAAACAAGTAAACTCTCAACTTCTTTCCTCACTTCAAATCAAACATTTCATTTCTGATCTGTGACTTAATCGTCTACGTCATCTTTGATATTGCCTACGTCATCTCGAGCCTCATTGTCGGTGTCATCTCTGACATCGTCTATGTCATGTATTACTTCATTGTGTACGTCATCTCTGACATCACTGCTTACGTCATTTATGACTTCATTGTCTGCGACATCTCTGGCTTTATCATCAGCGTCATCCGTCGCGCCATTTTGAACTTCTTGCACGTAATTTTGCGAGTCATTGACAACGTTATCATGTTCCATAGTTCGCGGCGGACAGACTGTAACTGTAGGATCGGTCTGGTATTCTGAGATAACGGGGGCAGGTCTAAAATGGTGCAAGAAAGCCACCTTATCGAGTAAACAAGACGGTTTAAAAATAAATATTTTTATTTAAATGTCTAGTCGTTCTAATGCCGGTGGGGGGGGGGGGTACTACGCCAGAATTTGGGTAAGGGTGTTCCGCTGGGATTCTGAAAGGGGTATCCTGTTTATGACAACAAAAAAAACAAATTTGTAGACCCTGTTAATGACAAAAGATATAATTAATTGCACTGAGTTCCCGTTTCAATTATCATGTCATCTCGCGTATCGTTTTTTTTACCGACCATAATAACCAGTTTCCGTCAATACGAAAGTAGAAACCCTGAATATGACAGGAAACTCAGGAAGAACTTGGAACTTAAGTGAAATTTCTGGATTGGGACACTTTTCACTAACACACACTACAACTACATTCAATGTCCTATGAACACAGCGCTCAAATCGCATGTTGATTTTTACGTAGGGAGGAAACCGGAGAACCCGGAGTAGACCCTAGTAGCATAGGAGAGAACAACACATCAGACCAACTCTATTCACATGTGACGACCGAAAATACACACACGCACACACCGCATGCATGTATATAACCAACGGCCCGATCAGCTGGACTTATAGCGGTGAGGTGAAAGACGACGTGTTATTTCTCAATTGACACGGTTTTCTTTGTTATTCACAAGGCTTTATTTTTGTTATAACCCTCATTATAAATGCGAGGTCAATATATAGTTATTAACCCGGTTAATAACTATATATAGACCGTTCGCATTTATAATGAGCAACATTTGATAGAAAACCTTCTCAATTGATAAATAAAATACTTAATTACCTCGAACTTCGGCAATAAGCCTATACATCCCTCGGGCCTGCGGCGATGTATATGGCTTATTGCCGAGGTTCGAGGTAATTAACTCTAACTTAGCAGTGTACACCACCCATACTACCCAATTGCCCTATTTCACTATGACGTCACATCAAAACAATCTATTGTTTAAACGCAAAGGATCATGGTCGTCGGAGGGGGTCAAATCAACGCAAATTCACCGAAAATTATTCTAAAACCCGCATCAATCCACGAAGAGAAGTAGAATAGCCAGCAAACGCTCAGAATATTTTTTAGTACATATAAACACATATTATATCTGAAAACCAGGCCATTTTAGATTAAACTGTTTCGCTAGGAGAAAATTTTGTTGAATTTTCTATTGGATTTCGCGATTCTATCCCCCACATGAACAAGCAGTGACGTCATAGTGAAATAGGGCAATATCGATACTTGGTTTAATGTGCTCATCTTTAGACCTAACTTTCAAGTACCTTAATATGCTGTCTGTTTAACCTGCTGAGCGTTTCTTTGTCGAAACCATATGCAATGGCGTTGAGAACACCTGCAAACACACAACATAATTTGCAATACTTCATGCATGCAATACCTCGTGATCTCACAGAATATTGGTGTAGTTGTTGGGTGGAATCTCCCTTGCTCCAGGTTGTTCGGTTTCCCTCCACCCACAAAACTAAAAACAAGCTAAAAGCCAATTAGATCGGCCCAGATGTTGTTTCAGGGTTTGATCTTTGATTTAGCCGTGCCCTGATTTAAATCAGCCCAGAGTTTGTTTCGGGGTTTGATCTGTGAGTAAGCCGTACCCTGACTTAAATAAGCCCAAAGGTTATTGCAGGTTTCGATCTGTGAGTTAGCCATGCCCTGACTTAGATCAGCCCAGAGGTTGTTTCAGACTTCGATCTGTGACGTCAGTTACCGTACTCTGACTTAGATCAGTGTAGAGGTTGTTTCAAGATTCTGTGTGTTAGCCGTGCACTGACTTAGATCAGCCCAGAGGTCGTTTCAGGGTTTATTCTGTGAGCCGAAGCGGTGCCCTGACTTTAATTAGCCCAGTTGTCGTTTCAGGGTTTGACAAGAATCATGATTACAGTTTTGCATGGCTTACCGCCAAGGGGATTGAATATCACATGTAACAACAGCAAAGGGAAACTTGGTGTTGCAGTCGTCACGTTGTAAATCCTGAAAACAAAACTTCGATTAGATGCAAATTTTGTAGAATGCTGAGGGTGTATAATCTTTACTTGCCGGGTTTTTTGCCACATCACAAAGGTCATCCAAATTAATAGGATTTTTACGCAATGCTTGCGAATAAGTCATGACTCATCTCCATGAAATCCAGGGACAGGGTAACAAGATGATTCTTAATCCTTACCTGTGTATTAAAGGGCATATTGAAATAACCAAATAGATGCAGGGGTACGCCATCAATGGCCTGACTTTCCTTTTCAACGACTCCTAAAAATGCAGATGAAAAGTGACATTGTTTAAAGGAAAATAGAACATAGAAGGTGTGCTAAGATAGCCAAGTTAGGGCATTGTTCCTGTACTATATAATGTCATGGTCAGTTAAACCTGGCTGCTGTCGTAAATCTCTAGATTTCTTCATGCATGGATACCCTTAACATGAATATCAGGCTCTCTTGAGGAAAGGGGGAGGCGGAACTCGAAAAGAGGAATGAATACGAGAGCCTGACACAAGCACATATCGGCGCTTGTATCATTTTGAGATCTACAGTCATACATATATTTTTTGCGAACGTAATTATTAAATGTTATCAATATTATATATATAATTTATATATTGTCAATATTTTCACYAAGAGAGCCTGATACTCAGATTAACATACCCTTAGTCGCTGTTGATCAACATTGTACATTCCCGTCCATTCCCTTTCCTGCAGCAAACAAACAGCACACATTAGTTAATAGAAGGAATACACCTTTTTACCTTGGCCTAATATTAATGTTCTCCAATTTTAGATTACGTGTGTATTAAGATAACCGTGAACACCTAAAATATATCTGGAATGTAAGACATCGTTTTCTAACCAATCACTTGAGACAGTTAATTAGAAATGAATTCTCGCATGCGATTGGTCGAAACATGATGTTTAACATTCCAGACATATTTTAGGTGTTCACGGTTTTCTTAACATATTAATAATTAGTTTGTAATATGTAAATGTAATCATAATAATTAATTTTGTAACTAACACTAATTGTAGATTATTGTGCGAAATATATTAAATTGAATTGTCATTCCCTAGAGTATCATTCATGAATATTAAGGACGATGCCTACTATTGTGCACGCGCACACGTACTGCGCATCTACATTTGAGGAATTCCAAATTTTATTATTCGAAGGCGTACGAAACAAATCGTTTATTTTCAATGAAAGTTAAAGCAGAAAACGATTTTAAGTAACCCAGGCTTGTGAAAGAGATAATTTGCTAAGGTTCAATTATATTATTGACAAAGAATCATAAGGGAGCCTTAAGGGCACAAGTTTTGAAAAAATGGTAGACTTAGTTCTAAAAAATCAAACTAGGGACCGACACTGCGCCAAAGATAAAGAAGACAGTAGACCTGGTGAGATGGTTTGGAAGTAATGTTTTCCAAGTTCAAAACCTCTTTGGATAAAGACTTTTTGTTTGAATGCATGGTATCTAAACAGAGTAAGTTATCTAATGGAAAAAGAGCAAAACGACTATCCTAACTTTATATGTTATGATTTATGGCACAGAAAGAAAAACAGAGGGAAATACGATTAGTTAGATATATTAAAAACCATGGACAATTTGTCATAGTTGAATGGAAATATAAAGTCGATGTGTTATATAATAACTTTATTAGTGTCTCTAATCTTCTAGCCGGGCACAAGTGCCCTACTAATCGGGGAGACAAAGGTAAATTTGTTAAAGGTAAATTTGGTCAGCATTTGTGGCATAAACGCACCTTTTTTCTGTAGGTATAAAAGATGTAGCCATATACTATGAACAAGATGGTGATGATGATAAACAAAGGAACATACCACCTGCAGGTGAATGAAAATGAACACTGGTAAGAGAACCGAATATTAGCAATCTCCTGAAGGGCAGTAAAACAGTAATATTTCCGAATTCCGTGCCTACAGGTTGACAAACCCTCGCGGTCCCAGTGATGAACCTTGAAGAATCCCATAATGGCAATTCAACTAATTTCTATTCCTAGTATACGCTTATATCAAATATAGAAAATCTTAAGCTTTCAAATGAGGAAAGGTGAGCAAATGATAGTTCCCTTTCAAGTTTTATAGTAATTATACCATTTGCTCTCCCAGGCTACTAGACCATACGATATCCYTAGAATACTTCATAAACGTTACCAAAACGTTTGACCTTTTGATAAGGGTTCTCAGGTTCTCTTTCCTCCACAAAACATTCATACTCTACTGCGGTGAATTAGCCACGTTTTACAGCCCAGAGGTCATTTCTGAGTTTGATCAAAGGGAGTTGTCTCAAAGCAACTTCATCTTTCTACTTACATCATGAATCTCCAAACTGTACTGTTGGAACTGTCTCGTGGTATCCAGCTGTGGACACGATAAATGCATTGTATTAGGGTGGTTTTAATAATGACTAATGAGGGAGCTCTGCCGAAGCCTAAGGGGAAGGTTAGTGTCGGCCCCTAGACCGTAGATTATTGTATTAATCCCTTGCTATGATCAGCAAACTCAAAAGTTTTGATTGAGACGTACGCCGATGGCTTTGAACGCATACTCACTCCTTACCATTTGGGATGCGTTTAGTAAAACTAAACGGAACGTGCATCATTAATCTTAAATAACTCGCAGCCGTTCCTATTGTCGTCACGGGAGAAACTACCCGTAGATTATCAAAGGCGGATTTATACACGCTACGATTTGTCGACCCAATTCGAATGTCTGCCAGTATCACATATCACATTATCACCCGAACTTCAACAATCGGCCTGACACGAAAACAACTGCTGTTGCAGTGCAAAAGATTTTTGTAAATCGGGCCATTTCAATCTGATATTATTTGTTTATTAATCGGGTACTTAATTACACGTATGACATGCCTCCCGATAGACTCCCACACTGGCAGACATGCGAATCGGGCCGACGAATCGTAGCGTGTAAAACCGCTTTAACCCTAGGTTGTTTTTGCCTCTTTCAATTTAGCTAAATTTTCGGGTTCTTCGAAAGTAGTTGGTTGTTGTAGCGCTACGTATTCTTTAATGTCAAGACGCAGGCGTTTGACAAAATGATGAAGCCATTCTGAGGATGGTAAAAATTCAGTCTACTACATTTCTGTTTAATGTCAATAGTATAGATACTCAATTTTTCTCCTTCTCTTTGCTTTCGTTAATTGAGAATTTGTCGAAATCTCAAATTATAGAAGCCGTCGATGCGAATTGATGTTCTAAGGCTTTAGTATAAGTCGATCAAGGGCTAAGTCATTCCTGTGAGGTAGTGAATTAAACCAAATGCTAGCTACTCCCTTCAAATATGATGGCAAGGCTCTAGATTGTTTCTCAGGCTGCCATCCGCAAATTTCGGCAGTACGAGTATAGTTATTAACAAAACTACGCACATTTCCACTCTCCTCCCCCTTGAATGTTGGGAAATTGAAAATTCCTCTCATACTGAAAGACTCTTGGCAAGAGCAATGTAATGCTGCCATTCTCTGTTCATGATCTTCTCTTTCCAATCTTAAATGGTCTAATTGTCTTTCTAGCGCTTCTTCCATTTCTCTTACTGAATCTAGCGTACGCGGCGAAGATAAGTTTTTGTTTTCAACAGACTCTTCTTGTTCAAAGAGGCGTTGTTCCTCTTCCAAACGAACTGTCCGATCTATACCCAATGGTCTACTATGCTCGAAATGTTCAGGAATTACAAATTACAAATAACACACAGACAAATTAAGGTTAAATCGTCAAGCAAGGGAAACCCCCAGAAAATAATTTTCCTTTTCCGGCTAATCCTATTGTTGATGTTCAACGCAGCAATAACAATGTCGTCACTGCAATCACAGCCTTGAACACCATCACCATCATTGTCGTGGTAGTCATACCAAAGCCGTGCCAAAGATGACACAAGTCACGAAGACCCACCAATTGACTCCTTTCTGGCTTTTGTTCTGATTTGTAAATTCATCACTGATGCTACCTTAACTGACACATATGGAATGACTTACTCAACGATACACGAAGACTGCTCTAACCTAGGTTTAAACGATTCATGAAAACCTTCTTATTATGTTGAAAAACGTTTGTTGAATTTATATCATGTTAAAATCAAAAGAACAATTTAATACATATTCATTGTTAAACTTTTTTTTAGTTAGTACTTATTCCTGACAAAGAGCGCCAGGAGGTGCAGCAACTGGCTAACCAGGGGGGGAGGCATGTTATGCCACAGTTTTGATATGTTTTAACCTTCTTTATCAAAGTGCTGTGTGATCTAATTAATTAGGTTTTTTTTATAGCATTTAGTCGTTTGGTTAAATAGTGATTCGTGCTAGGGCCGAACCAACGGTTTAAAGTTACATTTACATTGAGGATTATGGACAAGATCAATTTATAGCTTTCACGAACTTTGTCATGGCCAGAGTTATTATTGTATTCAAGTTAATTTAGCATTTCGTGTATGACGCATTTGTAATTCATTGATCGATATTACAATCCGGTGAGATTATTGACGCACAGAGAACTGTTTAGGTTAGTGCCCGGAATAGGGAGTTCTTTCCTGTACGCAGCTGTTTTAGATCACCCTTCTCCTTAATTGGCAAATGTTTATGTTAAATTAGTTCATCACAGGAAGTTCTGCTTGGGTCATGCCTCACTTAAATAAGGCTTCAAAAACCTTCGCACTAAGAATTAAAATACAAACAAAGTAGAAGAGCAGAAGAAGAACACAATTAAAAAACGAATCAATAAAGTTCTTGGAAGGTAAAACCCTGCCTCGAAGATCCTCTGTACTAACAATGCAAATGGAATAAACCAGCGAACGTTAATATGCGCATGCTGCCATACGTTTATATGATTGAATCAACAGTGGAGACGGTGAAGTCACCATGGATACCTGGCCAAACTTTACTGTTCGCATTTGCAGTTGCCTAATCGACAAGCGGGTATGACAATAACTTACCACCAAGGTCCTGCAGGTCCGTAATGATCATCAATAAGAGGGAGAAAAGATATGGCGAGAGAGACGCCCCAGCATATGACATGGTACCACCTGACGTGCACAAACACAATACAGAGATAAGGTCTGTGAAAACTATCCAGGAATGAAGATATGAAAAAAATCTCTATAAAAACAATTTGAATTATCACTAGCATTAGTATGATCTCTTTCTCTATCATTATCCTGACATTATTATCATCACCATCATCGTCACCATCATCACCACCATCATCATCACTATCATCATCATTATTTTCATAATCATTATCATCACTATCATCGTCATCATCACCATTATCATCATCATCATAATTGTCATCATTACCGTAATCATCACCATCATCATCATCATCTTTATCATCATTACCTCCATCCTCATAATTATCATCACTATTATTATATCAATGTCATCCCACTCTCACCACCATCATCAACCTCCTTCTCCTCATCATCATCATCCTTATCATCACCTGCACCCTCATCATGACCCTGTCATGTTCATCATCGTCGTCGTCATGATCATCGTCGTCATCATCGTCATCATCATCCTTATCATCAACTGCACCCTTAGCATGACCCTGTCATGGTGATCATTGTCATCGTCGTTATCATCATCGTCATCCTTATCATCACCTGCACCCTCATCATGACCCTGTCATGACCATCATCGTCATCCTCCTTATCATCACTTGCACCCTCATCATGACCCTGTCATGATCATCATCGTCATCATCCTTATCATCACCTGCACCCTCATCATGACCCTGTCAT